TCCTGAGCCCCCGTTACTCTCACCGTGCTCCTGAGCCCCCGTTACTCTCACCGTGCTCCTGAGCCCCCGTTACCCTCACTGTTGCACCATCCTGAGCCCCCGTTACTCTCACCGTGCTCCTCTGCCCACCTCTGCTGCTGAGGTAGACCCACCCCTCTTGGAGGGAAAGGCCTGTCTCACCCAAAGCACAGCTGAGTCCAGGGCTGAGTGCCCTGAGAGGAGCTGGCACGCAAGCCCAGAAAGGTATCTGAGCGGCTTCTGGCTCCAACAGCAGCAGAGCAGCGTGGCCACGCCATTCCTCCCAGGAAACAATTTTAAACTTGGACAACATATTTAAATTCTCTGACGGCGCTGGAGAGTAACCAGAAGCGGACAGGACCTGGAGAGTCCACCACGAAAGAGAGGAGCTGGTGAGGAGGGTCAGCCTGTCGCTCTGGCCTCCAGCCACTCCCCAGTCCCTCTCCGGCTGGTTCAGGTACAGCAACCAGAAAGTCGGAAAAAAATGCTGGAAGGAAAGGAGTCACAGAGAGGGTGAACCCCAAAATCTGCAGGTAAGATATAGTCAAATCCTTAGCTGGAGACCCCAGGGTATCCACAAAAAAGCAGCAGCTGGAAACTGAAAGAACTAAATAGATATTTCAGCTGCTGCTAACGTGGGCGAGAGCCAAATCAGCTGCCTCTTCAGAGGGGCATAACGGAATCCAGAATCTCTGTGATGTGTCATTTACAATGTCAAGTTTAATCAAAAAGCATAGAAATAAGAAAATATGACTTACATTCAAGAAGCAGCAGCAGTCTGAAACCACCTAAGCCAAGATGAAGCAGATGCTGCAATTAGCAGAAAGGAACTTTAAAGTACTTTAAGGAAAATACACGGATAAGGAACGAACAGAAGGCAATCTCAGCAAGAAATGGTGACTAAAAACGAGTAAATTGAAATTCTAGAGCTGAAAAGAAAAATAAACGAAATGCAAAAATTCACTCGATAGATAGGCTTAACAGCAGAAGACAGCAGAAAAAACAATCAGTGAACTTACAGACCAATGAAGAGAAATCATTTAATCTGAAGAAAAGACTGGAAAAAAGATAGAGCCTAGATACCTGTGGGGCAACATCAAGGAACCTACCATGCAGCTGGAGTCCCAGAAGAAAGAAAACGGATCACAAAACACAGGTACGCATCGCTCAACGTCCACTATACACTGTGTGAAGCAGGGCGTTATGCGATTTGGATGTTGTTGGCACATTATACACAGGCAGTCACCCGACAATCCGAAGCTAAATCCCCGTAGTAGACTCTATCATGTTTAAATCTTATGGGAGCCCACCAGACAAAGCCCGCGAGCGGTATCCACTAGACAGATACAGGCCAGCTTTGCCAAGGGTGCGGCTGGACCGGGTGGGGTCTGCACCGGCAGCAGGATCAGGACTTTGCGCACATCTGGGGTGCATGGGCGGAGAGCAGAGAGGTGGCTGCAGGGAGCAAGTGTGGGGGTGCACCAAGCCCTGGCTGCTGCAGCCTCCTCATCATATGCAGCCCCCACCACCGCCTGGAGCCCGTGAGTGCCCCAGGCCCGGGGCTTCCCCGCCAGTGCCCGCGGCAGGAGCCGAGCAGCCGTAGCAGGCGCTGCCCTGAGCTGGGAGTGAAAGGCTGCGCAGATGCTGGGCGGGTGAGTGAAACCAGGGGGAAGAGGACGTGCTGTGGGGACTGGGGTACACCTGGAGCCCCCCTGCTCATTCACTCCAGGGGCTTGGGGTCTTTAAAACCATTAGGGGGAAATGATAAAACTACAGAGTTGCTTTCCCTTTAAAAACAAACCCTATGCGACCACAGATAGACCGACAGACGGATGTATATGCAGGGGCACCATCAAGGGCTCCTTGTTCAGAGGATGGAGCTGGTTGTCTGCTATAACCCTGCCAAACTCCCCTTGCAGAAGGTGCTGGGCTAACATGCATTCTCACCTCCAAGAAGGAAGGAATGCTATTTATCTTTTTTTTTTCTTTCCTTTTTAATGATGTGGTCTTTTTTTGATATATAATTTACATTCCATAAAGATTCACCCTTTTAAAGTGAACATACTCAATGGTTTTTAGTGTATCCACAAAGTTATGTAACCATCACCACTGCCTAATTCCTAAACATTTTCATCACCCCAAAAAGCAACACTGTACCCATGAGCAGCCACTCCTCTTCGCCACTCTCCCCAGGCCCTGGCAACTACCAATCTATTTTCTGTCTCTGTGGATTTGATGGAATCATACATGTAACCTTTCGTGTCTGGCTTCCTTCCCTTGGCATGTTCTCAAAGTTCACCCATGTTGTAGCACGTATCAGAACATCTAATCGCCTAATAATATTCCATCGTATGAACAGTCCATATTTATTAATCTGTTTATGGACACATGGCTTGTTTCTACCTTTCGGCTACAATGAGTAATGCTGCTGCAGACATTTGTGTACAAGTTTTTGGTGTGTACGTGGACATACGTTTCTATTTCTCTTGCATATACACCTCCGAGTGCATCTGCTGGGTTAAGTCTGTGTTTAACTTCCTGAGGAATGGCCAGGCTGTTCTCCAAGGCAGCTGCACCATTTCACATTCCCACCAGCAATGTATGAGGGTTCCATTTTGTCCACACTCTCACTTCCAATGCTTGTTACTGTATGTCCTTTTGATTTCAGCCATCCTAGCGGGTGTGAAAGGCGCCCCAGTGGCACAGTGGTTAAGGCTCTCGGCTGCTAACTGGAACATCGGCGGTTTGAACCCACCAGGCGCTCCGTGGGGGAAAGACGCAGCAGTCAGCTGCCCTGAAAATTCACATACAGCCTTGGAAACCCTATGGGGCAGTTCTATTCTATCCTATAGGATTGCTATGAGTCAGAATAGACTCAACGGCTATGGGTTTTGGTTTGGAATGGGTGTGAAGTGGTATCTCACTGTGGTTTTAATTTCTTTTTCCCTGATGACTAATGATGTTGAACATCTTTTCACATGCCTGTGGGGTCGCTATGAGTCGGAACTGACTCGACCGCAATGGGCTGACTGGCCATCTGTGTATCTTCTTTGGAGAAATGTCTACTCAGACCCTCTGCCTATCATTAAACTGGGTTGGTCTTTTTATTGTTGCTCTATAAGCGTTCTCTATATATTCTGAATACCATATTCTAAATATACGACGCTTATCAGATACATAATTTACAAATAACCTGCTTCCGTTTTGTGAGCTGTCTTTTCACCGTGCTGTGTTCTCTGACCCACATTTTTAATTCTGATGAAGTCCGTTCACCTCTTTCTTTGGTTGCTTGTCTTCGTCTATTCCGTTAATACACAGTTGTTTCCATGGAGACCTAAGCGCAACAACTAATCTGTCAAGTGTTTCCCTCAGTCTATTTGATTACATCCCCAACGTAATAAACTGCTTATTCAATTAGCATGTCTGCTCTCATTTCTCCCTTTAACAATTATAAACAGTTGTGAGTCTCCTGACAGAGAGGAAATGAACAGATTCAGGCATTTACCCTACGAGGGTGTGGAATTGCTTAGCCTGAACGTCTGGGTGTTTCACGGGAGCCTACACTGCTGAGAGCTCAGCACGCTCAGCGCCCTGTCACCTTCTCCCCTCTGGTGACTCCCAGCTCCAGGCCCTCCATTCACAACTCCGCCAGCTCCCCTCCTCTTCTGGCCCCAGACATGGACAAATGTCGGTCTTCGGGGCCCTCCCTCCCCTGTTCATTCTACACTCCGTCTCTGCTTCTTCAGGGCTCCCCGTCCTCACCCTACAGGCCCTCTTCCCCGTTCCATCTCCAGCCCCCACCTGTGTCCTGTCAGTCCTGCATCTCTCACTCCTCAGTGCCCTCCCCACCCAGATGCCCCACATCAGCGGAAGCCGGGGACGTCTGCAACAACCAAGCATCTTCTCTTCCCAGCCACGTGCCCCTCCAGACTCTACTTCTGGAAAGTATCGTTTTCCAGTCACCTGGCTTCAAACCTCAGCATCTTCTAATACCCCCTCCGACTCTCCCACATCAAAGCAGCCTTTGCCGTAGCAGTGACCTTTCTTCACTGTTAACCCAGCCCCACACCCCTGCCACAATGACCTTCCTAAATCCCCTTTACTCCTCCTATTCCCCTGCTCCAGTCCCTTTAAATACTCCCTGCTTCCCTAGATGAAGTCCAAAGCCTAGCACTCAAACCCAGCCCCCAGTCTGACCCAGTCTATCTTCCCAACCCCACCTCCCTCCACTTCCCTCACCAGCCCTCTGCTCCAACCACATTATGCTACTGTTTCCTGCAGGTCCTATTTTATTCCACCTCTACAGTTACTCCGCCCCTTCTCTTTCCTGGCCAGCCCCTTCTCTTTCACCTGAATGCTCCTGCCTTCAGATTAATCCCACTTCCACCACAAACCAGCCCTCCTTCATTCATTCCTGAGGCACGTGTCTCACCTAACACTGGGCCAGGCACTCTCCTAGGCACTGGGGTTATTAATGAATTGGGGGGCGGGGGGCGGGACAAAGTCCTTGTGCCTCACAGAGCTCAGAAGCAGGGCAGAATGGTACTCAGGAAGTGTGGACTCTCACTGTGCTAAGTGCAACAGAGAGAAAGCAGTGAGTACTAGGAAGGCATGTCACAGGGAGAAAATGGCCTGATGGAGTCAGGGGAGGCCCTGCACGTGGCTACGCGGCCTCTTTGGCTAACGTGCCTTCTCTGTGTGCGGGTTCGGTCCTCGAAATGGCGACACCTTACACCTCAGCACTCACCGTAACAGGTGAAGTGGTCCGTGAGCGACTTTGGTGGAGGGAGGGGAGGAGGAGGAGGAGCAGGAAGCAGGAAGTCACAATGTCTTGGAAGACAGCCCTGACTCGAGGTTGGGCTCTGCCACTCCTCAGCCCTGAGAGCCTTCCGCAAGCTCCCTGTGGCTCAGGTTCTCACTGGAGGCTCGGAGCAGCCATCTTCCTCACAGAGCTGTGAAGGCTTGTGTGATGAAGTGCACACGTGAAGTCCTACACGGGCCTTCCACGTGAAAGCACGCATAAGTGGGTCACTGTCGCCATTACTGTTGTTGCCGCTGTCAGCAGAGGGCTCCGGGGCAGGAAACGAACTCCGAGTTCCGTAACATCAGACCAACCACCAAATTTGGGCCAAGTCTCGGCTGAGACCAGCCAAATGGACTTCTAAGAACTGGACCTTCTAAGGTCTAGAAACGACATGAGCCCAGCAGGGTTACCCAAAAGCAGGGGAGGGTCTTGCCAATCAATGGCTCTTCCCAAAAGTTCCTCCGCCCAGGGCCTGGCTTCCTGCTCTGACCTCAGGCCGTGAGACACCGGGAATCTCAAAGGGGCAGCCTGGACGGGTTATGAAAGGAAACACAAAAAACTGCCTCATCTTCCAAGTCTGATCTCTCTTCTTCTTGCTGCCTCCCCCTATACTCTATTCTCCTCTGAGTGGGGCAAGAGGGCTGTGCCAGGCTTCCACGCTGTTCTCCCTGGAGCCTGAGGGCTTCCTGGGCGGTGCCAGGGTCCGAGCGGGGGGCAACCATGCCACCGCCTTTCCCATACGGGGCTTTAGCTAAAGTACACTTGGAATGTTTCTGAAAACCACTGGTGAGGCAGAGGATGTGGGCTTGGGACCAGATCAAGCCCTGTTTAGCCCCTGTCTGTTCACCAACTGTGTGACCTCCCCACCTTTCCTCACCCTCCGAGCCTCAGGTCCTCATCTGTAAAAAGGAGGATAACCACCTCACAGGGTTGCTTGTTTTTTAAAAAATATTATTTTACTGAGCTTCTGGTGAAAGTTTACAAGTCAGGTTTGCATTTGACAATTTCCACACAAATGGTTCAGTGACATTCGTTCCGTTTGTCACAAGGTGTCAACGTTTTCTTGACTCGTGTTCTGTTTGTTCTCTTCCCAGTGCCCGGTTTCCCTGCCCTTATCTTCCCATCCTTGCTTCTGACCTTCTGGTCTCATTCGGACGTTTTTAAATAGGGCACCATCTTAACAGGTAACACCCTGTATTGTGTGTGCCACTCTGCTGTTTTGCTAAAAGGTGATCTCACGGGACAGACTCGGCTCTAGGTTTAAAGAGTGCCTCAGGGCAAAAGTCTAAGGGAGTCCTCTGTTCTCTACTGTTCCAGTTTGTCTGGCTTTTTTTTTTAAGTAAGAATTTGGGTCTTGGAGGGTCATTTTGAGAATTAAGTAGGGCGTGGGGACGACAGGCCTGGTGCAGGGGCAGCAGTCAGCAAACTTGAACTTTCCCAGCCTCTTTCCTTCTACAGTTTTCTCTGACTAAGGATGAGGCAGAATCACAGAATTTCCCATCCCGTTCCCCTCCCCGACAAGCACAGGCGTGGAGAGGAGCAAAACCCCACCTCCCCCACCCACCCAAGAAGCTGTCGTCAGGCTGGGGCAAGTATTTACTGCACGGTAAGCAAACAGACCGGTGTCTGCTCTCACGCAGTGGACACTCTAGCAGAAAAGACAGACGTTAACCAAACTCACAGGAACAAACGCACGGGCCACCGGTGACGGCCACGAACAAACGCACGGGCCACCAGTGACGGCCACGAAGAAACGCACAGGCCACCGGCGACGGCCGCGAAGAAACGCACGGGCCACCGGCGACAGAGCAGTGGAGGGTGGGCAGTGACCCACCCTGGAGGGAGGTCAGAGGCTTTGCAGAGAAATGCGTGAGCTGAGATCTGACGAGTGATGGGGGAAGAGAATTCCAGGCAGAGGAGTAAAACACCAAAGAGGCCCTGGGGTGGCAGGGACTGAGACTCCAAACAAGAGGCCAGCACTGCTGACAGGTGGAGGAAAGGGGAGAAGAGAAGGAAGCGATAAACAGTGACTCCCAGGCTCAGATGGCGCTGCGGTTCCCAGAAACAGTGAGCGCTGGAAGAGGCCTGCTCGTTTCCTAGCGCCGCCGTGACAAAAACACAAGCGGGCGGCCTTAAAGAACAGAAGTTTACTGTCTCAGTTCTGGAGGCCACAAGTCCAGCTGAGGGCACTGTCTCCAAGGGAGGGTCCTTCCTTGTCTGCAGCCCCAGGTGTTCCTTGCTTGTAAATGGTTCCTCCCAGGATCTCTTCCCTCCTGTGTGTGCCTGTGTGTGCCCACTCTCTGTAACAGCACTCCCAGGGGTCAGGTTTAGGGCTGTGAGCTGCAGACAGTCATCTGGCCTTCTCTTCTGGGTTCCTGAGAGCCGGACCACCTGGGGCCGACACGAAGCCTCAGGAGGTGTGATGTAACTGACCGTGGCCCTAAAGGCTTTGGAAGACGGGGACTCAGTAGAGCTTCTAGGCTGCAGAGAGAGAACATTTTGCTCTGACCTAGCTCCTGAGTGGCTAGGGATGAGAGAAAGAAGGGGCCAGCCGGTTTGAAGTGGAGGGAATCACGTGCCCCCTGACCTCACCCCAGGTGGCTGGGGAGAGAGTGTTGCTTGGAGCGGCTGACAAGGATGGAGAGTAGGAGGATGAGGACTAGACCCATTTCTAGGTAGGAACTGGATTCATGCTGATCCCTACCACAGAGTCAGCAGTGAAGGTGGGATCCGCCCACCCCGCCCCGTGCTGTGCTCAGTTAGCACAGGACCCACCCTATTCTCATATGACCTCGTTAACATAAAAAAACCCTATTTCCAAAAAGATCATATTTACAGGTACAGGGGTACTAGGACTTCAACGTGACTTTCTGGAGGACACAATCCAACCCATAACAAGGACCGGTCTGGGAGCAGGAGATGATGAGCTCAACTCTGGACGTGCGGCGCTCAGGGTACCTTCCTGACATCCAAGCAGAGCTGTCACCTAGGCAGCTACGGGCACACAGGATACAGAGGTCTGGGGTTTAGAACAGAGATGAGCAAGCAGTGACTCATGGGGGCCTGGGGAGACCACCCAGGAAGACGGGAGAGAGTGAGAAAGGGGCCTAGGACAAAGATTTAACACCCAAGAGCTGGAATGTGACCGCAAACGAGTCTAGAAAGGGTGACCCTAAGAGCAGACATTAAGGGAGCAGAGTGTATCCAGGAGGAAGAAGTTGTCACCCTGTCAGATGTTACTGAGAGGCCCCGTGAGAGGCCAAGTGACAGACAGGACAGACAGGACCCTGTTCACCCAGCCGGGCAACGGGGCCTAGCAGACATCCTCCCAGAGGGCTCCAGGAGGTGACCCAAGTCATTAGAGGACCAACTGCCAGCAGCTTCTTAGGGAAGGAGGGAGGGAGAAGCAGAGGCCTGAAGCCCTTACCGTGGTATCTGATGGCCTGGCCTCAGGGGCTAAGCCCAAATGGGGGAATGGAAAAGAGGCAGGTACCAGGCTGGAAGCATCCTCTGTCCCAAGGCTAGTTAGATATGTATGGCTTTAAAACTAGGGCAATCCCTGAGATCCGACACCAGGAGCCACGACAGGGGCACCTCTTCTCCAGGCACCCAGCTGGCGAGACGCCTGAACTCGGCCTCCGGCTGCAGCACTGGCATAGCACTGCACTCCAGCACTGAACCCACCTACCTGGTAAGACACCCGGGCCTTGGATTGTGACCGTCTCCTCTTCCTGCTCGTCTGCCTGCTCAGAGTTCTCAACCACCTGGTCCAACTCCTCGCTCAGCTGGAGAGAGAAACAAAGAGGTACATCAGCCTTGCTTTTCTAGAAAAGAATACATAAGCAGAAGCTGCTTAACTGTCCCAAGATGTAGAGTCTGTTATACCAGTCCTACAGTGAGAACACAGAAGCTCATAAAAGTCAAGTAGCTTCCAATAGGGGCTGGCGTCTATCAGGGCCCGTGAGAGATGGAGCCGGGAGTCAAATCCAAGCTGGTCAAGCTCCACAGCCCACGGGCTTAACCACTTCCCAGAGAAGGAACACAACTTAGGGCCCCAGAGAGAGCAGAGGGCGCCATGACGTCAGCGTCCCAGCTCTCCGAGATGCTGGCCGAAGTCCACCGATTCTGGCTGCACAAGGCAGAACCCAGTGGAGAGGGCAGTCCATCCCAGGGACTGATGCTCATTAGCAGCCTGGCAGCAGGCAAATTCAACCCCACTTCATCAGTTTTCTGTCAAATGGAGAAATCACGCCACTGAGGTGGGCAGGAGAGGTCAAGTCCAGAGTTCAGAGGAGGAGCTATCACTGAACTGAGAAAGGGCTAGCTTCCCAAGTGTGTTCTTGGAGTCTCAACACATTTTCATAAAAAATTCACCTCCAAGGTTTGGGGTCAAGGTTTCACAGGACATCCCAGTTAACGGCCTAATGATGTGTTTAGTGCTTCTGTTCCACCTCCTAGTTGCACACATAGTGCCTGGGCCATAAAAGCTTGCCAGCAACCGTCCAGGGCACAACTACTGGTCTCTACCCACCTGCAGCAACAGAGGAAGAAGCAAGAATCAGGAATAAGAAGAGGAAATGGAATGTGTGGCTAACTGCCTCCACAACTGCCTTCCTTTGCCATGAGACCAGAAGAACTGGATGGTGCCTGGCTACCATTACTGAACATTTTAATCAAAGATTCTACAGAAGAATCCTGATCAAAAGCGGGGAAATACAAAATCAAAAAAAAAACAAACCCACGGCCATCGAGTCCATTCCGACTCTTAGTGACCCTATAGGACAGAGTAGGACTGCCCCATAGAGTTTCCAAGGAGTTACCTTTTGGTTAGTAGCAAAGCTCTTAACCTACACCACCAGCGTTTCCGATCCTGATCAAAAGGAGGAAAATGCAGACCATACTGTCAAATTCTCATGGAACCCAGACTTTATGGAGCCACAGAGGCTGGATGAACCCCTGAAACTACTGCCCTGAGATAATCTTTAAACTGTAAACCAGAAATATCCCCTGAAGTCTTCTTAAAGCGATCAAGTTGACAACAGCAACTCAAAAGATTAGACAGGAACCCTAGGGGGCAGTGAGTTTATGTTACTAGGGGAGGAACAACTCTGAAAACGAGGGTGAGAATGGCTGCACAACTTCAAAAATGTAATTAATGTCACTGATTGTACACGTAGGAACTGCTGAATTGGTGTATGTTCTGTTGTTGTGTATATTCTCAACAACAAAATAAATACTTTTTTAAAAATTCACCTCCAAGAGATCCGGGTTAAAATAAAGCTCTTACACATCTATTATTTTTCATCTCCCTCTCCCTCTCCAGGCTTCCCATTCCTGTCCCACAGAATCAGGCAAAATCTCCAGTTTAAAATCCTCCAAGCACAAAATAAAGAAAAACAAGTGGGAGGGTGGTGGGAGGCAGAAACAGCAGCAGGAGATACCGGCGTCCAGTGGGAACACAGATAAAGGGCCCAGAGCTGACCAAAGGGAAAGGGGACCAGAGGCTGCCCCCACCGCTACTGCGTCAGGACGGCAGTGCTGAGACGACCCGAGGTTCTCGGACCCAAGACTCCCCCAGGTCCGGCCTGACCTGGTGACAACACCCTCCTCTCCCAGTTCCCTTCCTGGACATCCACAACCACAGTGAGCCCACCTCCTTGCTTCCCCTGGCCAGCTGAAGACAACTTTTCCGCATGCCTCACCACCCACAGCAGAGACACCCAGCTCAAGAGCAACCTCCACGCTCAGAATGACCCGGGCGAAAACACTACAGGCCGCTCTCTGGGCTGCCCTTTCTCTGACGGCAAGGAGAGGTGACCCTTCCTACTGTGGGGGTGCCCTTACACAGCAACCGCCTCTACCCCTGGCCTTGTCCTTACAAGTGGGGTGACCACCGACATTGGTGAGCTGACTGCAAGCTCCACGTGGATGGTGAGAGATACTGGTGAGGAGACTGCAGGCTCCACATGTTAGGCCAGGACCCCAGAGGTTCCCTGAAACAGGAGCTGCCACCCCTGAGGGACCACGACCCGCCAGGCACTGAGCTGAGCACTTCCTCACAGCTCATCCAACCCTCTCACGACGACCCTGTGAGGCAGCGACTGTCATCTTTGCTTCTCACATGAAGAGACAGAGGCTTAGAGAACTGACCTGACGAGACACAAACAGCACAGCCCTAGTATTTACCCACAATGCTGACTCCTAGACACCTGGAAACGTCAGCAGTGGGGGACAGACATGTCTCACCCCCCAGGATCCCCCCACAATGCTGACTCCTAAACACCTGGAAACGTCAGCAGTGGGGGACAGACACGCCTCACTCCCCAAGATCCCCCCACAATGCTGACTCCTAGACACCTGGAAACGTCAGCAGTGAGGGACAGACACGTCTCACTCCCCAGGATCCCCCCACAATGCTGATTCCTAGACACCTGGAAACGTCAGCAGTG